CGGACCGCGAGATCGTGACCTGAGCTGAAGTCGGACGCTTAACCGACTGAGCCACCCAGGCGCCCCTGTGTTTTATTTTTTAATTTAGACTCACATATAAGCTATCATACAGTATTTTTCTTTCTCAGTCTGGCTTGTTTCACTTAGCATAAATGACCTCAAGGCATCATATTGCTGGATATAGCAAGACTTCATTCTTTCTTAATGGCTTAATATTGCATTGTGTATCTGTACCACAATTTCTTTATCCACTCATCCATTGATGATAGGCTGTTTCCCTATCTTGCTTTTTGTAAATAATGTTGCAGTGAATATGGGGGTGCATACATCTTAAGTGTTTTTGTTTTCTGATAATACCAGAAGTAGAACTGCTGGATCATATGGTAGTTCTATTTAATTTTTTTGACTAACCTCCATACTGTTTCTCATGGTGTATGCACCAGTTTACATTCCTACCCAGTCACAAGGGTTTCCTTTTCTCCACATCCTTGCCAACACTTATTTATTTTTTTGATAATGGCCATTCTAACAGGTGTGAGGTACATTGTGGTTTTGATTTGCATTTCCCTGATGATTAGTGATGTTAAGCATCTATTCCTGTGCCTATTGGTCATCTGTATGTCTTTGGAAACATGTCTATTGCAGTTCTCTGTCATTCATTCATTCATTCATTCAGTAAAGTAAGTAATCTCTACACCCAGCCTGGGGCTCGAAGTCACAACCCACCGACTGAGTCAGCCAGGCATCCCCTCTGCCTATTTTTTAATCAGACTGGGTTTTTGGTCTTTTTGTTTTTTGCTATTAAGTTGTAGTTCTTCATATATTTTGGATATTAACCCTTATTGGATATATGATTTGCAAATGTTTTCTCACATTCAATAGTCTGCCCTTTCATTTTGCTGATGGTTTCCTTTGTTGTGCAGAAGCTTTTTTGATACAGCCCCATTTGTTTATTTTTGCTTTTACTTTTGGTGTCCAGTTGAAAAGATCATTGCCATAACCTATGTCCTACGTCCACATGCCTGTGTTTTCTTCTAGGAGTTTTATGGTTTCAGGTCTTACATTCAAGTCTTTAATACATTTTGAGTTAAGTTTTGCATGTGGTGTTAAGACAGTGGTTGAGTTTCATTTGTTTGTATGTGGCTATCCAGTTTTCCCAGCACTATTTATGGAAGAGACTGTCTTTTCCCCACTGTATGTTCCTGGATCCT